GGAATATAAAAAGACCAGCAAAATCTTTCAGAAACCTGACGGGACACTTGTACTAAAGCACGATTTGCAGCTTTTCTTAAACTCTACATATTATGTACATACCTACAAAGCAAGGAACTCCTGTAAACATAAACACAGAGACATTGATACAACAAGGAATCTGTAATGGTTCTGTTGCAGATGTGATCTACCGTCGTACTCCTTGCTCTTTTGGTATAACTATACCAATCAAAATGTTAAACGGCTCCATAGAATCAAACGACAAAGGATTCTTGCTATATTCTGGACTTCCAGGAATGTGGTGCATGGACAGAAAAATTATAATTACTAAAGCAATCATGCCATTTTTTTTCCCTGTATCAGAAATGTGTCAGTGACAATGTGTAATATAATACAGATACTATAATTAATGGTATAAGAAACACATAATGTGTTAATTACAAAGGTGGATAGACCTTGTGAATATCTGAAATGCAATTGAAGATTATTGCTAAAATGCCATATGCAGCTGCAGTCTGGCCTACAAACAAATATATTAGACATAAAGTATAAGAGTATAACAGCTAATTACCCAGATAAATAATTGAATCATGATAGTTAAAAATCATATGATTGCAATAACAACTGCAATAATGAATGTTTTAACCTTAAAAGAAAATGTGAAATGTTTTTATTAAATCAGAAACTATTCTATATTCGTTTAAGTTTGCAGAGTGGTATAATGAATTGAAGTGAAGTACTTCAACAGTTAAAATTTAACTGAAAGACAGGCAGAAACTTTACTTCAACTATCATAAAGTTTATTATAATGATAAAAATATTCAGTCTGCAAGAGCTAAGGCCAGTCAATGGAAAGAAAGAGTATTATGGATTAACCCGTCCAGGTGATATACATGATGATTTTGGAAATTGATAAGTTAGGTCACCTATTGCAAACTTGTGAAAAGATGTCAAAGATATAAATTCAACATCCATACCACTCTATGTATATATATATATATATATATATTAAAATACACATAATCAAATATTTTATCAGTTTTTCAAATACAAAGAAAATGTAATTTGGTTTGTAATGGTTAAAGGTACATAAACCACCTATACAAAGGTAGAGTTAAAATATAAATACATTCAATATTGTATCGGAGTGCTTTCTTAACTCACTTTTAGAAATAATAAAAATTCTAATCATCTTAAGCTACATCCAACAGCCACTGAAAAATATACTTAAACAATTAAGATTCACATTGTTAAGCATCCAATCTCACGAATGTAACTTTCCACAATGGCTGTCAGATCTTGGTTAAAAAAATTAAAAAAAATGTTTTCTAAGACAATATTTGGGGGTTTCTGGTATTTTAAGCCACTAATAACTTTTTATTAACTAGGGAATAAGTTGTCTTCTCCCTAACAGGTCAAAGAAAGATAATTAACGTCATATTTCCAATTTTCAACTATTCTAAATATATTGAGAGTTTTTGAATAAAGGAATAAAGTTTTTGAATTTTAACATTTAAAGAGAATGTAATTTTACATACCATGGTGAACAAAGGCGGTAAATATTTTGCTGCTTCAAATTATCATTATATATCTAAATCATATACAAGGGTGTTTATCTTTAAAACAAAACACTAGAAAGATTAACTATATTACTATTTCATCTATCATTATTATACAAACTATAACAAATGTAAAGATTTTTCCACAGATTTTACCTGTTAACATTTTTTGCACAACAACACCTGATGTCAGTGAGATGTCTATCACTGAGATGTTACAAAGATTCCAATACAGCAAAAAGAGGCGTTCCTGAGAATCCACTTCAATTGCTGTATCAACATAACATTTACTGTAATGGGATCCATGTCACTTAAGACAATGTCTTGGAAATGCTGTCAATTAATTTATTCCGTAAAAGAATATCAGAGAGTATCCAATCTATACACATCATAAACTGGTGTAAAAATGTTTCATGGAAAAAACAAACAAAATAAAAAGCAAAGACAAAGACAAATACCAACGCCATCACCACGGTGATAACAGATGATGCTGATTCAATATCTGCAACCAATTCTAGCCAAATACTTGGAAAGCTGGACTCTACAACCTATACTCTACAACAAATACCCGGGTATTCTACAAACACAACCTCCAGCAATGTATTTAAGGAATGTAAACTTCTACAGGCCTTTTAAGACTTTGGATTACAAATACAATTACTACTTTTAACTTTGGATTACAATCTGCATCCGGATCCATCAAAAAATATCTTACTCTGGAACTTGGTGTTCTTTTCAATTCATTCCCAGACAAAAGCTTTGCTCATTTTAATCAACCACCTTTACAGGCAAAGATCACACTACGGATATTTTACTGTTACAACAATGATCCATGATGCTGGGAGCACAAAAACCTAAAGACAGTTGGAGAACTTTGGTTCACTAATTTAAGGAAGAAATGCGCTACAATGCCCACAGTTTAATGGAGAGGGTGTTATGGGAAAATGCAAATATTACAAGTTTTAGAATGAAATGTTGTATTTCTTAAACTGTGTACTTTGTCTTTAAGAGATATTGCAAACTGACAAGGTGTTAGAAATGGAACATATTGTTTTTCATAACTGTTTCTTTAAGCAATAACCTCAGTGCATAATATGTTTGCGCCATTTTGTCCCAGACGAATTACAATAATGCATAAACAAGCTTCAAGGCTATGCTACGACTCTTGCAGTACACAATATACTGTGGTAACCCCAAGTTAATGGAACTTCCCCAAATCCGGGAATCTCCCACGACTGTACACTTACGACTTAGTATAAACAACAGATAACCTATTCAGACTTTAAGATGCCATCTTGAACTAAGTCAGGAAAATTTCCATGACGTATACACCCTTTAGTTATGGCCTTGTATGTTTGCCAAATTAAGGGAGGTCCTAAATTGAATAAAGTAAAAGAAGTGTTACTTTTTCATATTTGAACTACAGTAACCTAAAATGGAGACACCTAAGGTATAAATAGGTGTACTTTTAAATGTTAAGAAACAGAGGAGAGACTTGGAGACAGACGCTGCTCCATCTTAAAATGACAGAGAGGCTGACATGATGACATGTTCAGAAGGGTATGTTAACCTATTAATGATATTTGCAAGCATGTAATTTAATTTTATAAACTCTGCTATAATGGATTTTATATTTTTATATAATAAATATCCAAAAAGACAATCTTGCTTCCAAGACAATCCTTATTTTATATTGTATTCTCAATTATTTATATATGTTAAATAGAGGATCTCTTACACTATATAAAATTATGGCTAAGATATCTGTATGGTTAGCCCTACTAAGTTCTATGCTTTAAGACATTATAGTGGTAAATAAGGGAACCACACACGGTTACAATACACCACTGCATGGACCTCTTGCTCCCTCTTTCATTTCTCCCAGCCACATGCAAAAATATTTTTTTTAATACAAACTCTAAATATAATTAAATAAAATGTTACTTATTGGAAATAGTGAGGTGAGGGTTGCTCTATGTGAATGAAGAACTTATAGTTGGGGTGGACAATGCTGGATAATATGCTTGGGGTGTGGCTTAAATTGAAGGAGAATATGTGGCTGGTAGAGGAGAATATGGTGGATTTAGGCATGGTAAAAAAAATTGGTAGGGCTGAATCAATTTGTCTCAAAAAACATTTGATTCAGGTGGGACAAAATTTGTCCATGCGGTGTTTCAGCTTTTCTACCATTGTCCTTTGTCAGTTGTTTTGTTATACGTCCACTAGACTTTGCAGGAATCGATGACCTGCAAACTTTCTTTGTCCTAGGGATAAGCATAACCACCTAGCAAAGCTAGTGGGTATGTGGCAGCCTCCTGGAGAAATATTTTGCCGCGCTAAAAACGCTTGTGCTGTGCTCCTGCACAGCAACAGCGTTTTAACCAATCAGATGATCAGGATAGCCGTGTAGCTCGCGGCAGCACTGATCACCTCAGATTTTAAAATTGGAATACTGCAGATGGTTAACTCATCCAGAGCCAAATAAAACCCTTAATGTTGCATAGATATCAATGTACATGGTACTAAACATAATAAAGGAAAAGAGCACCACTGACAATGTAAGAGGGGTAACAATGATTTAGTTACTCAACCAAACATGAACTTACTCCTATGAAAGGGTTATGTCTACAGAGTGGAAAGGCAATATAATAAAGTAACAATAAATAAGAAACATTTCTGAAGCACTGACAGTTAACAGTAACATATGAAAATGTAACAAAACAATCTTTGATCATCAAGTTGAAAAAACAAAACAGTCTCTGAGAGAAATATTAGTATAGTATAACTCATAATCAAAGAACTTCTGGAAGAAGTTTCTTAACCTCCAGAACTATTTAGGAGGGTCCTTGGCTTGGTGATCCTGTCTGGGTAGCTGGTTGTAATCTGTAAAGATAAACAGAATAAATATAAATAAATATAAGTTAAAAAGAAAACAAACACACAAAATTACTTTAATTAGAAGATTCCCAAACCAGAGAAATACCCTGCCACCACCAGGCAATATAAATAAACCTGGGGAGGGAGGGAAGGATGGTCATGCTTATCCCTAGGACAAAGAAAGTTTGCAGGTCATCGATTCCTGCAAACTCTTGTTTGTCCCTCTGGGAGGCATAACCACCTAGCAAAGCTAGTGGGTTAAATAGCACCTGCACCTGGAGGTGGTCCAAACTTAACAAAAGTCTTACTGGAAGACCATCTTGCAACTTTAAGGATAAAAGGAAGAGGAAGGTCTCTCGCTGCTGATTTTGAAGCTGTAGCCCCTCTGATAGAATGACCCTTAAAAACCGTGAGATCAATACCCGCTGCAGACATAGCGGACAGTGTCCAACCCCTGATTGTGTTAACCTTGAAAAGGTTAAGGTTTTCTGGAGGTAATAAGTAATTGCGTAAAGTCTTGTCTGACTGGGGCAGAAAGATTCAAGTATGAATTTAACAAATTAACTAAGCATAAACTCGCTCAGCAGAATCCTGCACCAAATCTAGTTCTACAGGACCCGGGAAAATATGGGAAGTCTTCTGTCTCCCTTTAAGGATGACATGGAATCCCCCAGGAGTTCGAGACAACCATGGTTCGACAATATTTAGCTGGGTTAATTCTGAGCCTCTAGCTGCCAGAGCTAAAGCTAGAAGGGATGCCAATTTAATCACCGTCCATTTTAAGTCAATCTGGTCATTGTCCAAAGAATTAAGGTAGTTTAATAAAAAGGTCCACATCCCAAGTGGAAGTGTATCTTGGAAGAAAAAAGGCCGGCAGACTGATAGCCCTTTGAGTAACCTGAGGTAAAGGGCATCTTGGGTCAGATTATGGATTAGAAAATTTAATGCAGAACCATAGGTCTTAATCGTACTGTCTGCTAACCCTGAATGATATTTGAGCGTGAGGAATTCCAAAGCTAAGGGAATTGTGTCAGATTCATTGGAAAGGGAATTAAAGGAAATTTCCCATGCTTTAAATTCCTCGATCATCTGTTTGTATCTTACCCTGGTCCTGCACCATAATGAAGAATTAACTATGTCTAAAACCCAGTCAGACAGGGCTGCCATCCACATAAGTGTGGGGAGCTTGGTTAAGAGATCCCTGGTCCCTAGGAAGCAATCTGCTGTCCAGCCTAATGGAACCTTTTGTCTCCTGATTAGAGGTTGGATCAGGGGGTACCATGGTCTGGAGGTCCAAATGGGGTACACTAAAACCAGATTGGTTACCCTGTCCCTGCGAAGTTTCTCTAACACCTTCATCAGAATAGATGGAGGAGGAAAAGCATAAAGGCCCGGAATGTCTGTCCATTGGAAGGACATCTCATCCATCTTCCAAGCTCTTTTTGCCCAAGTCCTGGTTACAAATTTGTAAATCTGTCGGCTAAGTAACAAAGGCATAGAAATCCTCTTTGCCTGACGTGGGATATAATAGCTTTCATTATCCTGGAAAATGTGTAAGGTGCGTTGGATAGGCCAAACACCATTACAGTCCAGTGATATATCTGTTCTTTCCAGCGGAATCTGAGAAAGCGCCTGTGTTTCATAGCGATAGGAACTGAATGGAAAGCCTCTTTGAGGTCTAATTTTACGCAGAAGACATTTTACACTAGGCCTGGGAGGTCCATTAAACCTTCCATCCTGAACCTTTTCCTCTTTAGGAAAGCATTCAACCAATTCACCCTGGACATTTAGAACTGGTCTCCATGTGCCATCTGATTTTGGAATAGGGAACAAGGGGCTGATCCAACCTGAAATTGACAAATCTACCAATTCTATTTTTCCCTGAGCTAATGCCTGGGAAAGAGAGGAATATAGAACTGGATTTACCTCTCTGCCCAGAGCTTGACTCTGGAAAGGAAACTGAATTGAACAGTATATGATCATACATTGCATAAGCCTGCCACAACGTCAATGTACCCTATCTTTGGCAGGTCCTACTCTGTCTGCTAAATGAGCTACTAGTGCACCTATTTAAGCATTTTACTGCAGAGAACTCGAGATGGAAGGATTTCCCCAAGTGAGTAGCTCATTTAGCAGACAGAGTAGGACCTGCCAAAGATGGGGTACATTGACGTTGTGGCTTATGCAATGTATGATCATATACTGTAACTAAACCCCCATTATTATTTTGCCTAGATTAGGTGTTTTTAATAAATCCCAAAAATTGTTCAGCACTAAAATGACTGTTTAGTAGATAAGCGAGTGCGCTGGATTTTCATTTTTACTGTACTTATTGGCCCCCAGCAGCACCCTAATTTAGCATGTTTAGGTGAGTGCAGCCAAACCCTTATTTTCTCATATATGTTTGAGGTTATATCTGACCAATTTTGAGGGATGTGAGGTAAACCACTTACTTGACTGCATGGGTCTTCGGTTTCCTGATGAGCCACGTCTGGCATGGGCTCCTCTGCTACTGCATGGGGGTCTTGACTTTCCCCCATGGTGTCGAAAGTGGGCTTGCTGAGTAACTTCCCGGGACGAGCCTGTAGCCCTGTAGGAACGCCCCTCGGTCTGAAAGGGCTTCTTGTAGCTTGGAAAGCTCTTCTAGCTATATATCGTCCTTTCACTTCTTGTATAAAAGAGGGACCAAATAGAAAGGAGTTCTCAAAATTAGGGAATTCATGTGATTTCGGTGCTAAATCAGACATCCCATCTGCATGCAGCCAGCGGGTTCTGCGAATGTTAGAAATATAGTTGAAGGATTGACCGATAATAAGCACCGCTCTGCTGGAAGCTTTTAGAGTGCCATCTTAGAAGCAAGTAAAGCTCATAGGGAAGGGTTATGAGAGGATCCCTCTTTCTCTGCCTTATCCAACATAAGTAGCAGGGGACCAACAGCATCCGCAATTTTAAATTGTACATTGCCCAATGTCTGATCCATGGGATCCGCAGAAACACTGCTTCCTGTAATGGATAACAGTGCTGGAACAATTTCAGGGGCCATTAGCGCCTGAATGTCAGGGTTACCAATATGATTTCCAAGGAGCAGATCATCCTCTTTAACTGGCGGTGATCTAAATGCTAGTTTGGCAAAATTCCTGACTTCTGATTCTTGTTCGATGGCCCATCTTGAATGAAATAATTATGAAGGGAGCCCTTTACCTAAAAGGCTCACTCTGTCCATCTGAATGTTGCTCAACTTCCCTTATTCAGTGGATGCTGCAGAGCGAACCACCTCCTCGCACTCCCAATTAATCTCCGGTGATCCCTGTCTGGAGCAGGACCGGCTCAGGGAGGATGAATGAGCAAACGCTCTTGAGGTGGACGGTAAGGGACTGACAGCACTCAAACGAATCTTGTCCCTTTTATGTGAAAACTTCTTTGTAACCTCAAATGAGGGAAAAGCATGTTCCGCTTTTGGAGGTACTGTCCCTTTAAAACGTTGACTACTCAAACGAGAATGAGGGGAAGAGGGACCAAAATCAAGTTCATCCTCAGAACTTGAAGAGGAAAGGCGAGACTTCTTTTTTCTTTTACTAATTTGGACTATATCCTCCTCAGAAGATGAAGAGGATATGTCCCTGGCAAGGAAGGCTCTTTTATGGAGCCTTCTAACGTTGATGGGGCTGTCTCTAGGAAAGACATCCACCATATCTGTGGCAGACACAGGGATACCAATATGATTTCTAGGGAGGAGATCATCCTCTTTAACTAGCGGTGATCTAAATGCTAGTTTGGCAAAATACCTGACTTCTGATTCTTGTTTGATGGCCCATCTTGAATGGAATAATGTTGAAGGGAGCCCTTTACCTAAAAGGCTCACTCTGTCCATCTGAATGTTGCTCAACTTCCCTTGTTCAGTGGACGCTGCAGAGCGAACCACCTCCTCGAACTCCAAATCAATCTCCGGTGATCCCTGTCTGGAGCAGGACCGACTTAGGGAGGATGAATCAGCAAATGCTCTTGAGGTGGACGGTGAGGGACTGGCAGCACTCAAACAAGTCTTGTCCCTTTTGTGTGAAAACTGCTTTGAAACCTCAAACGAGGGAAAAGCATGTTCCGCTTTTGGAGGTACTGTCCCTTTAAAACGTTGACTACTCAAACGAGAATGAGGGGAAGAGGGACCAAAATCAAGTTCATCCTCAGAACTTGAAGAGGAAAGGCGAGACTTCTTTTTTCTTTTACTAACTGGGACTATATCCTCCTCAGAAGATGAAGAGGATATGTCCCTGGCAAGGAAGGCTCTCTTATGGAGCCTCCTAACATTGATGGGGCTAGGAGAGACATCCACCATATCTAAGAGAGACATCCACCATATCTGTGGCAGACAAAGAAATGGAGTCCTCCATCAACGTTGCCATTTTAAAATCTGAGGTGATCAGGGCTGCCGTGAGCTACACGGCTGTCCTGATCACCTGATTGGCTAAACCGCTGTTGCTGTACAGGAGCACAGCACGAGCGTTTTTAGCACGGCAAAATATTTCTCCAGGAGGGACAAATAAGGTTCTTGGGAGTACTTGGGGTTGATTGCATCGATCTGTACTGCATAATGAAGAACTAGAACACAATTGCTGCATACAGGTAATGCTAGTTCATAATTTACATATTCCATCATAAATCAAACTGTTTATTCACAGAATTAATTAGGAATATGAGACTCATTTAACAAGTTGAACTTAATTCTCTGTCATCTGTAAATCTATAACTTTCAATGAACGCTTGGCACTGTAGGTTTTTCTATGCTCCTGACTCATATACACATTCCCCAAGTGATTGGTTTTTAGTCAGCATATTCAATATTCTAAATAATACTTTGTCACAAGTCATCATTCAGTGCTTTGCTTGTTACAAATCCACTTTCTGTTACATATACTGGGGCATCAAAGCTATTCAGGAATAAATGATTTATTTACTTTAAGTATTTGTTCATTTGGATAATGCAGTACTTGTGTACACACTCTTTCAAAAGTCAGGACAATACTGACACAATGCATTTTACTGAGATTACAATGCAGATTGAGATGTGATAATGCATTAAATAAACATGCTTCAGCAGATTGGTTGTAGGGATACTGTATTAGATTTCAAATGTTCATCACAGCTATCCAGATTATACAAAAATGTTTCTAGGACTTTAATATTTGGGACATTATTTATGAACATAGAAAATCAGTATAATAGTTATTATTATTATTATCATTATTACAGTCTTGAACTTTTAGTGTGAAATAGGTGATCCATAGTTTAACAGACAGGTACCTTAAATTTTGAGGGTTTTTTTTTTTTTTTTTAAATATAATCATGTTTCTAAACATCTATATGTGTATGTTTTATTGTTTTGGAATATTATTTTGTTTCTGCCTGTAGAATAATTTCTTTATTAGTTGTGGTTATATAACACCAAAGGTTAACACTCAGAATCCCATGCCCATTAAACCTTATTATCGCAATGCATTGTGGATAGTGGAAATATTCAAGGTTGGGAGTTTGTTCATTAGATGCCCTTCTTGACCTTGTTGAATCAGCTATCGCCTTAGGTCCCAACTAATGTATTGTGCCCTACTCGTTTCCCTTATCACTTTTGAGCTCTTGTGGTTCAATGCCAAATGTATTATCAATTGTCTTATGTCCTTAATCTCTATAGAAGTTTAACCTCTGTGTCAGGAATTAAAAAATTGGGTCCCAGAGCCATTTCAGTGGGTTCCCAATGGACAGTACAGGCAACCTCCTCGGTATATTGTTTTCTACTTTGATAGTGTACTCTTAAGTGTGATGGAGGCCATGTTTGGAAGAGTCTAATAACATAATTTCTCAGATTTCGTTTTGTTATATACTACAATGGAAGAATGGGTCACTGGGCTAGTTTTTCATTTGCAGACTAGGTCGAAAAACTAATGTCATATAAATAACATGGGTCCCTGTCAAGGAAAAGTTAATTAAAAATTTCTAGAGTAATCCTGGCCAAAACTATATGAGGTCAAGCTTGTGATACAAGATGTATCATTACTATTAAGTACAATGCAACTCAGATATAATCAACTTGATTTATTCGAGGTCACTGTTAAATAGTTTTTGCAAACGTTGCACCAAAATTAAATCTTTCTATTGACTGTATCTAATCAGTTACGCTTTCGTTAAAATCTCTTAAAGTGAGTTGAAATATACCAATAGATATTATAGAAATAGTGGCAGCAAATGGTATTTATGAGATAGACTAAGCAACGCATGGGAATTTTATGCTTTTACATCAGAAATCCAATACTTGTCTTCGGCAGATATAGGGCTCGCATATCTCCATACCTACTTTTTCCAGCCAGCAGCTAATTGCTAAAGTACCTGTCGTTACTTTTATCAAACAGTGGCTGTTTAACACCTGCTAATTTCGCAAGTAGCGGCAGGGAGTTACCATCAGTCACTACTAAAAAGGAAGTTACTATCAGCTCCTACTATTCTCTACGAGAAGAACTTAGCGACTAATTTCAACCCTGTTGCTATTTTCTATGGCTACCACTAAGCTTCCACTAATTGTTAACGTATGTGTAATCTTACTGATGGCAAAGCAGCAGCAACGGATTGTCAGAATCCCATTGAAAAAATGGCCTAGCGTAATTAATATCATTGATACATTGAAGGTTTTATGCAAAGCAAATCATTACGCTGAGCTGTACATTATGCTACTTCCCTACACCCCTAAAGTTTTTAATTACAATTGTAAATCCTGGGGTTTTTTACATACGCAAATACATCAAACCAAATATTGTAACCTGTTAGCAATATCAAACTAATGTATACATACATAGTATAACTTAATGAAAAAATCTGCCATGATAACGTTTGCCTTTAAAATTCCAGAGGCAAACAGAAACCTTTGTTTATAGCTTGCACAATGTAATTAATGGGATATGTAGAATTTGTCCAACCTTTATCGCTGGAGTACTATTGACTGCTTTCAGGATTCACAGTAAAACACTTTGATTAGTGATTTATACAGCAAGAATAATTGACTAATTGGTAGATGGAGGAAAACTGAAACTTTGGCAGGACAATATATAAAAACTAAACTGCCGTTTTTGTTTATCTGTTCTTGATGAGTGTCAAGGACTATCCAGGATGAATTTCATCAATCATTTCTTAATTTCAGCCTACTGCTAATTTAAATAGGTAATAAAAATGCACAGTACGCACAGTTAACAATTTATATATGTTTCTATAATCCATGTTGATGCATAATTTAATCAATGGATCCTAATGCAAGCTTAGATATATATAACGAATTTTAGGCATAAGTAGGTGTAGTTGGCTTAACCTCGGATCATAAAATACACACGTTACTAAGGGCTTATATAAGTTAAAGGATCACTGTAAGCATCATAACCACTTTGTCTTGCTGATATGGCTATGATGCAAAAACCCTGTCCCTACTGCCTGTCTTTTTAAAAAGAGAATTGTCTTGTGAAAGGCAAGACTTGCCTGTCAAAGAAATATGGTTTCCAAGCCAACC